TAGGCTATTTTAAAAAGGTTAGTTTTAAGTTCAGTTTTAAAGCTAGGTGAGTTACTAATAGATTCAGGCAAAGAGTTCCAGAGTTCTGATGCAGCAATGGAGAAAGACCAACGACCGTACGATTTAATATTGTAGGACTTTGATTGTAGGAGGAGTTTTGATGATGAGTGAACATTGCTTTAAGTGAGTTCAGCTGAGTTTTTTCCTCTTCCTTTTTTTATATTGAATCCTGCTTCGTTTATTTACTTATTTATTTAACATACCATAAGGTTAAATTCGCTATCAGGTCCACCAGCTTCATACCCAGCTTTCCAATCTTCGTCTTCCGAATCGTCGTCGTCATCGTCATCACTGCTATCGTCGTCACTACCACCCCCATAGTCTTTCTTATTGTCACTCTCTTTGGGCGACGTTTCTTTACTCTTTGACACAGATTTGTTAACTTTACCTCTAGGGGTGGTGTTCGGTGTTGGATTGTCATCGCTTTCGTCGTCACTACTAGCMGAGTCGGCATCGCTATCGGCATTTTGTCTTTTCTTGCGCCCTTTTTTCTTGATAAGCGGTGAGCTCTGGTAGTGCTTTTCAACGAACCCCCGACGTCGTAGCGACGCACGGACGATTGGGTASGGCCCGTGACAAATGAAAACTTTCTTGTTCTAGGGAATGTAAGTTAAAATGAAGTCACTTAACAGTTTTGATATAACACGCACTCTAATTGGTTAGGGAATACGTTACAAAATGCGCAATGCCTAGCAAACATGCAACACAAAAACAACGCACATTTTGAGGCACAGTTTGAACTACTGAGGTAAGCAGGGACGGAAACGGAGACGGGGAGGTAGTCACTTATGTTTACGCTTGTGTAAAAGTCTTCAGACGGAGAGGACGCGAAGGAAGCAAGGAAAATCCTTTGACAAATTGTAAGTATTGTACTTACCTTAATCGCACCATCAGCAACTTCTTTAGCATGTCGAACCTTTTCAAATAAAGGATGGTCGTATTTCATTTTACTACAATGCTGTCCTGGCTGCGACGCGTTCCTAGAATGACTCCCTTTTTTCACACCGTTAGGAATGTTTGGTTTCTTATCCACTTTAGTGCTACTATTCCAATCCTCATTTTCAATTTTCGGTTTASTAACCGGGTAAGTCAGTCCACGTTGATGCGCTCTAATTGAGCGCTTGTGTTTGTTTAAATAAAGATTTTCTGATGACTGGTTATATGGACTTTGTTCTTTTAGCCTCTGAGCTCCAGTGTTCAAACATTCTAACTTGATATTTCTAGTATTTTTCTTATTTTCCAATGAATTGTTGTCGTTCTCATCGCTATTATCACATTCGTCCATTTGATTTTCATTTGATTGCTGGTCTTCGTTTAGTCGTTTTGTACCGCACTCAATATCGGTTGTTGAAGATGAATTCGACATTGAATTTGTAATATCTGAAGATGTTGTTAAAAGAGAGTCTTTTGAAGGAGTTGGATTGTGTTTGTCTTCATTCTCCTATAATCAAATGATAGTGAGCGTTAATAACAACGAATTGATAATCGTCGATATGAAAAAAATGAACTATATGTTGTTATAAATGGCACAATAGTGGGCCTGATAGCAGGTTTTTTGTTTCTTTCTCCCTTCCTTTTCTTTTTTGTGTTTTTGTTTTATTTTCCTAGGGAAGCATTCAGAGTTCATCATTGCGGAATAAAATTATCATGACGTCACGTGGTCTGTGACGTTATAAAATTATATTATCTCAAAGTGAAAAAAAATTTATAGAGAAACAAGAAAACTTAGAAACGAAACTATAAACTACTATTTTTTCTTACCTCTTCAATAGAATCATTCAAATCTTTCAGTTTGCTAGTTTTGTGCTTTTTTGACTTAATCATTTGAACAGGGCTTAGTCTTGATGATTTGTAAGGAAGCAAATATGAATCACTTTGCTGAAATTAAAAAAATAARTAAAAAATAGCTAAAACTAMGCACTTTATACAATACTGTAAACKATCACAAGAATAATGWTATGGTACATTATTGGATGCTATTCTGTTGGATATGGTAGTTATTGGATACTATTCWGCAGATATAGTCATTGACATAAGATATCATTGCTAATGATGGGCTTCTGACAAGAAAGAAAATACATCGTATCAGAAAGCGCTCTTATGTAAGCACTTAAATTTGATGCAAATTAAATAATCATTTTTCTAGAGACAGAGTTACGTATTTAAACATTTTGTTCAAAATAATTTTAGAATTATCTTTCCGTGATCATCAAAAAAGCAACTCTGTGAACTTGACTTGATAAATACCTGACGATTAACAAGAGCAAAATTTCAATGGCAGTTGTGCTGTCTTCGAGAAGTACAATTTTTTTTTTTCTCTGTCAGGTAGTTGAAGTATGACTCGAGTGGCTATTGGAAGCGCTCCATAAATAAAGGACTTACCCAATGTAAATACCGCAAATTGTGCTCAGAATAAATATTTAATGGTTAAAGATCATATTTGAATATTCAACTTGAAACTAAGAAATTAAGCACATCAATTCAAAGCATGAATTTAAAAATATATGAAAAATTTAAGATTAATTYTTGAATTTTTGAAGCATCGAGTTATATAATTATTGATCTTGGAGTAGAAAAGCCTTTATATCCAAAAATAATTAAAAGATTTCAGCACCCGCAACGCAATTTCCATKGAAAATAAATTGGAGTYTAGGTTTAGATTGGCGCAATTTAAGTACACACTTGTCGTATTTAATCGATGACACCAGAATGTCGCTTTAATAGTCACCGCTTTAGATGAATGTGGTCCGATTTTCTGCAATTTTTAGAAGCCGATCTGTTATCAGATTGAGCTCAATTATGGCTTTTTAAAATATTAAAATACTTTATACATGAAATTAGGAAACTAGATATATTTCGTGTTTCTTTTTTTTTTCAATTAGAGTTGCTCACGCACATGCACTTTTTAAAGTGCAAAAATAAAAATATATAAAAGAGATGCTAAAGATTATCACGTTTTTATTTTTTAGATCGTGCAAGTAAAATACATCAGCTGACCAAGTTCGATTTGATGAAACGTTCGATTGAAATCATACCACTACAGATTTAATACTTCACACATCTGTCATTAATAAATATATAATAAATACTTTTACAAAGCGACAACCCAATCAACACAAACATAACAAAACAATAAAGCAAAACAAAGACAATCAACTTACGATGTGCCGCTTTTGTTTTTCCACATGCAACATCTGACGATCMAGAAAAGTCGTCTTTAATTTTTGTACGATTTTTTCACTATTTGAGCTCACTTGTGGCTTGAACGTAAAGATCGCGTCCTCTTCTGCATTTTGGTAGGAYGACCTTCGATTTAGTGCAGAATTTCGTATCTTTTCGCCTCTCGCTTTAGCAAGCTTTATGCTCAAAGCATTCAACTTGGGTGTAAATGTCAACTCKGACTCGAAGTTCAGCAMKTCTTTGTGATGGCCTTTCACAGTCGAAATCATTGTTCTGCTCCTAGATATTTCCTTTAGAGGACTAAGCTTCTTTTCTTCGTTTTCTGAGTCCTTCGTAGAGCGTTTCACCGACTGATATAAAGAAAGGTCCCCGGGTTTCCCAGTGAGGCAGTGTATGGTCTCCACAACAACTTTCCCTCCGTCACAAAAATCACTTTCTTGGTCATTTTCTACGGCTATTATAGTTTTCTGTGGAGATARATCACGAGATAYCGTATTTGATAAACTAGATTTCATAATGTTGTACGTTTTGCAGTACTCCAGCATCTCCATCGTTCTAAAATAGTGCACWAACTAGAGACCCTAACCCAAAGACGCCATTTTGGTTTAGGGTCTCCATGGAAACTTATCACAACACAGGAATCCCGTGGATAAAATGACAAAGAAAATCACTGAGCTGTAAACACGAAGAGATTTGGTGCATTGTTTTTGTACGTTGTTGTGACATTGAAAAGCTTTGAAGTAAATAGCCGTTAGTTTTAAATCACTTCCTAATAAAATTCGGAAGCATTGCTGTGCCTACTTTGTGGAGTCTGTACACTAATGGTGGAAACAAGTGACTTCTACTATATAAATCAATGACACGTCTGTATGAACAGAGGTACTTTTTTTAACAGAGAACAGTGGACCATGTGCAGTGGATTTGATGYTATTAAAGCAATAGGGCTCCATAAATGGAATGCGCTGTTAATCAGTACGAGGTGGCTAATTTCTGCTGCATCGCGCTACCATCACGCAACGCTCCTTGCAGGGCTCATGAATATTCGCGAACTAAGAAAAAAGGACTTTATTTAAGGAATTAAAAAATAGAGAGAATCTGATATTGAGTTTGCCTTGTTCCACCCGTTTCGAATAGCAGAAAGAAACTCGAAGAAGTTTCCGTGTATGCTTTCCGTGAATTCATTCCGCTTTTGCATGGTAAACAACAAAACAAGCAAGAACAATAACAACAACAACAGCAACATCAGCAGCAACAACAACAGCAGTAGCAACAACAGCAGCAGCAACAACAGCAGCAGCAGCAACAATAACACAACAAATTTCTGGATAACATACCTTTGAAATGTTCGTCCCATCGATTAAGATRCAAGAAATGGGAAGTAGTGAAGACGTCCGTGAAACGAGTTGACACTGGTTATTCCTGAAAGAAAACCGAGTCATCCGTTCTTAGCTGATTTTAAAATGATCAGTGTCATCAAAAACCGTACATAACCAACGACCAGCGACCTGACCGCTATACTAAGAACGAAAAACGTCCTTTGACCGAACATTAAAATTAGAACAAGATGTTTATTACCTGGAGAGTAGAAGTGGTTCTAATTGAGACAATTTGATTCTTCCAATTTCGATTGTTACATCAAATTATGTTATGACGTCATTTTACAACTAGAAGTATGACGTCATAAGTAATTGACTGACGATAGAATAATGAGCCATATGATATATCTATTCAGGAGCCCATGGGCTGTGATTTCATTACGTGGCTGCACGAGGATTCTAAGCATCGAGTTCTTGTATATWAATGTGCAAAGGAGAAATTCTTTGTTAGCAACTTGAAAAATGTACATCGCAGACATGTCTACATCGCATAGCCTTTTGACCCAACTACACATCCTATAAATCGCCCGGTTCTCTGAATCAAACTCAAAAATATTTTCTATATTGCTTTCTTTATAAATTAACCAACAAACACATAAAAAGAATTACTTTATTACACTTTTACACTGGACAGAAAGGTCTCAAAAACGCGTAAAATACATTTAAATAGTACAYTGATTGATTGGTGTTAACCACAGATGTATCACAGAATATTTTATTTTTCCGAACTTCCTGTCCCCTCAAAAGGTTCCGAGGGCACAGGAAGCCCATAACGACACTTTTTCATTTCACGGGCGGAAAATCACTTACACAAGTTTATCAAAAATTTAGTTCACACTACATAACTTTCTAAGGGAAAAATTGATATATACAAAAAAAGTACATACAACATTAGAAGACATCAAATAGTAGGTAAAATGCAATGCCAAAATATAAAGTTCAATCTTCAAGTTTGAGATTTATATTTTAAAACTGCGCAACCCAAAATTTTCTAAATTCATTAATCCTTATTATATTTGACAACTTTCACAACTTTATACCAATTTAAAAGCTAACAATCTCAAACTTTAGGAGAATCCTTGGTTTAGTATGATCTATGAAACAATTTGAGGTAAATTGTCTCTAAGGTTAACTATAGACATGTGACCGAGCCATACAAAGGCTACATTATAGGTTAACTATACACCCTTTTAATAAGTCCCAAGGTATTGTGTTCTCCGCACTTGACTTCAAATTTATTCTTTTGAATTCCTTTTGTATTTTAAAAATTTCAAAAGAATAAATTTGACGTCAAGTGCGGAGAACACAATACCTCGGGACTTATTAAAAGGGTGTATAGACATGTGACCGAGCCATACACAGGCTACATTATATAACAGTTACTCTTTGAACTAGGTCCAACAAAACGTTTACACATGACTGTTTAAATCAGATTTAAATCAAGGGTTACCCTAGTTTTTTTATATATTTAAAACCAAAAGTAAGTATCACCAGTCAAGGGTAGCTCTATCTAATGGCCATGGTCAACCAGCATTCATTAAAGTCTTTTTTTTGTATAATAATATTAAGGAAATTGAGGTGAATTCACAATCTTTTCACAATCTTTTCCATCCACAAGTTTTACTTACAATATCTCTGGTCATAGAACATAAATGTTGAGATAAGTTTTTGATTATATTACAATGTGTCTCTATTTTCAAATATAAACAAAAGCTTGTAAATGATGCTGTTTGACTATAGGCCTTTAATGAACTCCATAAAGAAACGTAAAACAAATATAYCTGGATTTTAAGACAACCTAAAGGATAATATTATTACAATCTGATCTTGTTAATTACCGCTATGTCCTTAGTACAAATCGACATAAATGTATCAGGAAAGGGTCAAATTTCAGTGACAATACAGCGGCACCTTTCAAAACAGACAAATTATTTTAGAAAATCATAATCCTAACTCCATTGTTGCTTTGAAAAGGCTCCACAGTACATCAGAATGGAAGAATGCCTGAATGCTGTTTCCACAAAAATCCATTATACACTCTCATCTCTCAATACATGAAAACATTGCCCATTTGAGTAGATTGTTATTGTCAAAAGCCAAGGGTTTAACTATACAGGCTTTGATGGACATCACTTGACAAAGAAAGCAGACTGACAGCACAGAACCTATGAAAAAAATTAATAAGTTAGCGTATTAGTACCCACCAAACTATCGGTCAYCACAAATCAAGCATTCTGATTATGGTTTATTCATTTTATACCATGGTCKAATCGAATAGAACAAAATTAGTCACAAAAATGTTGAGAAAAATTGTTGTTTATGGCCTATTTTTCAAATTTGCCCTATAGTTTGCTGGATGCTACATGTACAACAATTAGACCACATGGTAGTGAACTATGGGCTTAAAGTCCACTTGCCCGAGTGCAGCCTCATGGACTATTAACTCACAGTTCACGATATAGAAATGAAAGAAAGTTATAGTGCTTAGAAGGTGGCAATTCCTGGAAAAAAAACCCTTAGGAATAATTTCGGAAAAATTAATTCACTCAACCTTGCGCTCTTATTATTGTTAATTATCAAAAGTGAAGAACATAAGTATTRAGCTCTCTGTTGCAATATGAAAAGACAGGGGAAAAATTAAAATGGTACAATGCTCAAAACAACATAAAATTCTCTTAARATACACATAAAAACCTTTCAACAATGTCTTTTATGTGTAAAGCAAGAGAAAAGTGCAAGCATCAAAGCCTGAGGACAAGGTTAAATAATTAAATACATGGAGTTTGGCTTGAAAATTCAACTCAGCACTCAATAAAGTAAATAAAATATCTATAGCTCTGATGAATGCTGAATTTTTAGTACTTTAAGTTTGCCCTTGTTACCCATGATTCAATCAAGTACATAATATTACTTCTCGCTTAGATAGAAGAAGGTGGGATTTCTTGCTTGACTTCTGGGTCACCAGCTGGAGGTACAGAGCCACGCCCACCACGGGGGCTATGCCAGGGGGTCTCTTTGAACAGGAACCAGATATTGAAGCACCATACAAGGAAGTTCAAGAATCCCAACAACTATGATAACACAAAACARCACAGTTGTAATTATAACAATAGACCTAATCGGCTAACACATTGCTACAGACATTTCCACCCAATTCAAAGTTTCATTGTTTGTTGTATTTTCATTACATAGTTAAATTCTTAGAAACAAAAGTTCTTTTTCCCACTGGATTTGAATTGGGTGGCAACRTCCACAGCAATGCTGTTAGCTGATTAGGTCTATTAAGGGTTAGTGCATATAATTGTATAATTTCGACAAGTTATGACAATCTAAGCTCATGGCGAGAGCAGTATGGTTTGATGTGATGAGCAACAAACTTTTAAAAATGTGTTTGCTTTCTTGAGAAGTACTGCTCTCAAGCTACATGTAATTGGTTAAGAATGTAAACATGTCAAGACCATGTCTAAAACAAATCAAAAACTAGGTGTTACAGTTCAACACTTTCAGGGGCTCCATAATTTATTTGTAAGTAGGCGATTGCTCTGAAAAAGTAACCGTRTGTGAATCATGAGGGGGGAGGGGGGCACGAGAATTACAACCATAATTTGACAGAAGCAGCCTCTCCAAAGATCAAGATATATGGCAGATTTCACTGGTTATTCTAATATAACCCCTGCACACCACACATTAAGAGTGTGTATTTAATGTTACTTACCACTGACACGTTCAAYGCTCCAAAGGTTGCTTCCATGCCTKGGGAACAATTCAAGGCTTTATTTTTACAAGGAATAAACTGAGTGGCACCCATTTTGCTTTGAGTTGCATCTTTTAATCCTGATAAACCTGCAGCCCAGGCAATGGAACAGGTAAACCAAAAGATGACATACACAACAGTGGCTACAAAATCCTACAAAAGCAAGATAGAAAATGAAACTGTCAAATGTCATACATCAAATTTCAAATGACAAAATTTAAGAAATATAAAACKGCGTGTCTCTGTCCTCTGATATAAAAACACGGTCGGATTTCAAAAAACACGAGAGAAGCAAGCTTAGGAACACAAGGGTAGCGAGTGTTTCTCTTGCTTCTCGAGTGTTTTTCAACTCCCACCGTGTTTATATCAGAGGACAGAGACACAAGCGGCCGTTTTATATTTCTTTTATAAAATTTTTCGAGCGAAAAGGAAATAATATAAACACGGTCGTCAGCCAATCAGAGAGCACGTTATATATATCAAAAATTTTACAATTGCTTATATTAATGAACTCTATACCATTTTCAAATGTTCCAATGTTCCAATTGCAACGTGACTAAAAATATTCACTTTCTGTTCATGAAAAATGGTCTGGAATGTCAGGTGTGTTTTAGTGGAGAAATGACAAGACATTTGTGAYGATTCTATATGGACATTTGACAATGTTCCACGTGCAGACACTAAATATACATTGATTGTATATAATCAAGACATTGACAGTTGGAACATGGGAAATGTCTTTTTAGGTAGAGAACCTTTTAAAGATCAGCTGTAGAAACATACAGTCTTAAGACCAAATTAGACRACACAACTTTTGCCTACAACCACCACAGCAACCTGCCTAAGTCATCCTTATGGCTACAACTGTTGTGGGGMTATTAAGCAATTGTTAAAAAATCGTTAAATCCCTACGACAGTTGTAGCCATGTTGTAAGGATGACTTATGCAGGTTAGATGGTTGTAGGCAAAAGTTGTGTCTTCTAATTTGACCTTTATATTTTTTATCGTTTACATATTTAATTTTTTTGTTTATATATATTTCTATTATTTAATCGTATGAGGAAGTGGCTGATCCCATTAAAGAGTGCTCAATACACATAAAGTGTAGAACTAGTTATATATGATATGAAAGAGGCAAGATTTTGCTGTAACTCTGAGTTTCGTGCTACGCACTCATCAGACAGTACTGTTTTATTATTTAAATATTTCCAGTGGATGGCAATCAAATGGGACTTGCCTGTTTCTATATTCCTGTCCCTTTACATATTGCAAAAGGTACTAGTGTATCATGGGACACATCACAATAAAATAAAAACAATAATATGGCTCACTTACCACTATGACAAAATTGCATATACCAACATCAGTCGACGCCGCATCTCTCGCTTGATTATCAAAGAATATATAATACAAAGTGACGGCAATAATATACAGAAAGCATGTCACTCCAACAAACACAAAATACTGGGATTCAGACTGGTAGTCTAGGGGCAGATTTTCGCTTGCAGTACCATTGCAATTGTAGTAATAATCAATTGTGTTGAATGGATAGYTGAAGTCTGCCTTTACAGCGTTCTGCGTGCATGCAATCTTCACCTCAAAATGTCCATGGTAGCCGACAGTTGTGGAAAATGCAAATATTGCAATGGCCTGAGAAAAAATAAATAAATCCGTATTAGGGACAGTTTATTTTTTTATCAGGATGGGGAGGGAGAGGTAGTTAGATTTTTTTTTCAACTAAAATCATTTTAACTGCTTGCATAAAGGACAAGAGCTTTTAGGTGAGATGAACATTTAATTCTATTCTGCAAGTGTAAGTTTTGATTCCTCCAAGCTTAGTTTATTCTCTTGTTCTAATAAAATCGTTATTTAACCAATTTTTCCAAAATGAAAGCAAAAGTAATGACACAAGTTAAT